GGTGGGGGGTTTGCGGGCCGTGGTAAAGCTTTTTACGGGTCGGACGAGTATACGGCCTTTGTTTTGGTCAGAATATTAAATCGAGCCCGTATACTCGCTGAAATTTTACGAGTTTGTCACTTTTGCGGGGTCTGTTAGAGTTGCTCGAAGCAGGATTTTTTTATCTGAAACTGGAATGGTGGCAGCAGCAAATTAGCTCCATACAACTACCATAGCACCTGGTACGTGTCAATCCCGCATAGTTCTCGTCCATGTGCATAGGGGGCAACGTGCACAGAAGCAGAAAGGATCCCCGCCCCCCTCGAAAGAGGGCATTCAATTCAAAGCTCGCACCCGCTCTCCTCCCTTGCCAGCCGAGGAGACAGGGAGCACGAGGAGAGCGAAGACCGCGCAGAGCAGAGAGACCAGAGAGGGATAAACCTCCCTCCATTTTTATTACACCAAAAACCCACCGCGAAGGTCTCTCCAGATTCGCTCCACGTTCCTCGCAACGCTCCCCGCTCGCCGAATCGAGCCCCCAATGTGCGCGCCAGCAGCGCGGGCGAGTGCGAGATCCGGGGGCGCCGTTTGACCTGGGCAGGGCAGACGGCTCCGGCTCCGACTCCGGGCGCTGCCGCATTCGGCGAGGGTTGGCGCTCCGGTAAGCAGCTCCCCTTTCTCTGTCTCGAGCGTTGTTCGTGGCGTTTTTGAGCCGCCGCCTGCTTGGGACGGGAGGTTGAAAGTCTTGGCCTTTTCTTTTTGCTCTGTGTTTTTTCTCTCTCTCGTTGTGATGCCTTTTCCTCTTTTTGTTTTCTTTTCAACAAAAGTCGGTATAATTTTGTCCGTGCTCCGTTGGAGGCGTAGCTGCCGAAATCTTTAAGCAAATGTTGTTCATTGGGTCTTGAAGCAGTAGCAAATTACAGTCTCGCTTTTCCATGGAGTGGGTGGGTGGGTGGTTAGCAATACAACCTAGTACTAGTAGCACAAAAAAGAGGCGCAAATTAAGAGCCAAGGCGCGCTTAGATTTCAATTCTCTTACACGACAGTCTACAGGTGTCCTATAAAGCCGAGAATGTATTTTAGTTCGAGAAACTGAGTGTGGATTTTATATCCACGAGAAACTAATTGGACTAGCTATTGCAAAAATTTGACGCACCATGTATTTTTTAACAACTAATAATACTGGATGCTAAATCCACACTCAGTTTCTTCTGTTATTGCTGTTCGAAGGTCAGTATTTTTATTTATTAGCAGCTTTTGTTAAATTGTTCATGTACACGATGACACAATTAAACTGACACCGAAGAATTTTTCCTTGATTTGGCTGTTTCAACAGATTGTAACGAGAATCAGCCTTATGCTCCTGCGTATTAACAACATTAGCCTCCACTCCAGGCATCTTAGCTGTCCTTTTTGGTTAACTAACCTTATGATTCCCGTTGACCATTGCAAGTGTACAGGGGAGTTGTACTATCTTTCATCTCGCTGTTCTGTCTAGTGCAATTTAAGACATTCATGCAAAAGTTAGTTGGTTCTCCTGGTTCCAGTTGCTTCTAATGCAGGTCTGTAGTCCTGAGTTTAGTGGGTGATTCTGTACGATCTTGCGATGATTATAACTGCAACACTTGAGGGTTGGTAGTAGCACATGCACAAGGCTTGATGAACTTGTATGGCTTTTGTTCTCTTTCTTTTGGAGGGGAGAACTCTTCCACTTGCTTCTGCCTTTTCATTAGCTTCCATGCTGCAGTTTGACAATTTTTATTTTGGTGTTATTTTTTGTGTTCCCTTTTTCCATCTTTTATGTTTGTCGACGGGTCATTAAAACAGAAAACGGTGATGTATGAACCATTTTCACCAATGATGTATTCATTGTGTCCAGCAGTGATCTTTTGAGATACTGACGCTTGCTTTTTCTTTTTGGAATTAGGGGTGAGAATTACTTATCGATGACTCGGGCATCAACTCTTGATTTTCGGCGGAAGACGCAGGGTCAGAACAACTGGTCTGGGCCGTTGCGCCCAGTAAACGTCATCAGAAATAAATTCCCTACCTACAAGAATGGTTTGAATGGGATAGTCATCAAATTTGCAGATGAGCCAGAAATGCCATCTCTTAAGGAGTCTGTTGCTAAAGAGACAGCAGATCTGCTTGATCGGCGTCAGCGTCTTTCAGTCCGCGAGCTCGCAATGAAATTTGAGAAGGGCCTCAGTACTGCCACATTATTGTCTAACGAGGTATGGGTCTTCCTGATTCCTGAACACTCATTTAGCAATTGGTTCAGTTAGTTCAGACCTTAAGTTATTGCATTGCCTTTAACTCTCAGGTTAAATGTAAACAAGTGGCTTTATTGGAGCGAGACATCCTTCTGAAGAATCTAAAGAGTGTATTGGAGTCACTGAGAGGTCAAGTAGCTGGCAAATATAAGGATGAAATCGAGGAATCAGTATCTATGGTTGGTTTTTCTTCTTTTGAACCATATTTACAGCCTCGTGAAGGATTATTGTTCCTTGGTGTGTTTTTAGAGTATCTTTAATGACGCTGCAAGTGTTCTAAACTTACCATTATGGTTTCTTAAAAGAAGTCTCCAGCTAAATATATATGCCTAAATGATCCCTTTGTTTGTGAGCACTTCAATAGTTTGATACTTTCTATAGGTGGATATTTTAGCAGTTCAGCTGTCCAAAAGAGAAAATGAGTTGCTTCAGCAGAAAACCGAGGTCACGAGAATAGCGACTTCACTGAAACTGGTGAGCTGATCCTTGTACTTTGGAAGTATCTTTATTCTATGAACCTTTGTCAGCACATTTTAGTACCATGAGCCATTCTGTGTTCTCTGTTTACAATGTACTATCAAATGACATGTGTATTTTCCCTGCTTGCTACTGGTTTTGGAGGAAAACTTAGTTCCTTCTTTTAAATGCAAATTAGCTGCCATGATTAAGCAAGCCAAGCTGAAGTTTTACCTTTGTTGGGGCTTCAGAAACAGACTATCACACAGTACTACAGATTTGAGATGGTGCTCTTCTCTTCCAAATGCACAGCAAAATTTCAGGGGCCTGCTGATGGTTTGTTGAGCAGCAAATTTTTAGGAGTTCTGCCTGATTTTCTTACCATGGTTCAGAAAATAACATGCTGGCAATGATTTGTGTGTAAAGCATGTTCCAATTCCTCTTCGATTGGCGCGTCGTTTTAGTATTTTTTATAAACATCATTTATCCATATCAAGTATGCTTAATCTTGGTATATTCCCATTTCTTCATTTTCACACATCACTCTTTCTGTATCGTTTGTAGGCTTCTGAAGATGCTAGGAGAATTGTTGACGAAGAACGAACTAATGCCCGCACGGAGATTGAAAATGCTAGAGCTGCTGTACAAAGAGTTCAAAAAGTACTTAAAGAGAAAGAGAACAGTTCACAAAGAATTGGGAAGCAGGTAAATTATATATAATTATATGAGCACCATATTATCTTGTTTTCTCTACTTTAGTACCATGCTTACCTGGAACTTATGCCTGAATCTGTATTCCTTATATATTCTTTTATTTATGTCATATACAATTCCTCCCCGTGACTTCTGTACAGTTTTTCTGTTCAAAACCAGTGGTAGTATTTTTTTTTAATTTGACTGTGCATCCTTCTACATACTGCATCATACAGCAACAGATCTTCCTGCCCAACTTTGCTTTTATTGCTTGCTTGTCCAGATGCTGTACTTTGACACTTTCTTCAATTTTTATGATCTTCCTGCCCAACTGTTTGTACAGATATAAGCATTCTCTATACACAGACAGAACTGCTGCGGTTCAGCAGCATGATGTTTCTAACATGCAATGTCGATCACTTAATTCAATGAATCTTGTCTGAACCTAACTCATTTATCTTGGGGCATTACTTCTCTGTTCTATTTTTGTTGCCGTGTTTTTCATTCTATTAGTTGGTGCTTTTGGCCTTGAACTGCTCCCAGTTTCCTGTCTGTCATACCTTCCATGCATGTTAAGAGATTGATGCGTTTTCTTATGTAAAGTTCCTTCAATTTCCAGCTGAACTGTGCACATTTAAATTTTATTTCTGTTTGAAATGTGTAAGGATGTGGATGAACTTAGGGAAAAAGTTCAAGAAGCACGGAGAGTGAAGATGCTGCATTGCCCCAGCAAGGTAGACTTCATAGGCTTATCGCGTAGTTTTGTGTATATATGACATATACTTATGTGATTATATGGATTTTATACAATGTCAAATATATTTAGGGCCTTTTAATACCTTTGTAGGCAATGGACATAAAAAGCGAGATCCATGTTCTACGTGATCAATATGCTGAGATATCTTCCATTTCTGCTCATCTTTTAAAAGAGGTATGGCTTACATGTTCTGCATTTGGTGACTTCAGTTTGTGTCTCTCTCATTACACTTATATAGAATTATCTTGATCTGTTATCTTTAGTTGGAGTTGCACCAAAGTTTTAAGGAAAATGGCGTGCCCTCATGTGAGTTGGAGGGTCTCGAAAGCTTAGGCTCAATGCTGTGCGTAGTTGTCAAGAATGATGTGGCTTTATTGAATAGTTCAGTACAATGGTTTCGCATACAGCCTGAGGGACACAAGAAGGAAATCATTTCCGGTAGGACCATCTTCATCCTACAAAAACTCTGGTTTCTACAGGTAACATTCTTTTTAAAATATTTGTTACCACTGGAAATTTTTAGGTGCCACAAAGCTAGCATATGCTCCAGAACCTCATGACGTAGGGCGGTACCTGCAAGCTGAGGTTAACCTTGGTGGTCAAACCTCTGTCGCAAAGACTGCTGGCCCACTAGACCCTGGTTAGTTTGTTTGCATATGGTTATCTGACAAAGTTAAGCTGCTTTCATGGTTATGACATGGCTAACATTACTTTGGTCATGGAACAGCACCAGGTTTGGTCGATTATGTAGAGACCCTTGTAAGGAATCCTGAAAACGACTACAATGTATGATCACCCCTTCCTTAGCCATTAATATTTCTGTAGTCTGTACAGAGTTTTATCTTTGCTTATTTTATACCGAACTGTTTTAGTGCCCATCACAATCTACCTGTTGCCATGTCATCTGTTGATCTTATGTCGACGAATCGTATTTCTGTAGCACTAGGAGAACATAATAATGCAAGTTATTTATCCTATCTTGACAAGGCTTATCCACTGAATTACTTCCTTCAAGTCATGTTTTTGAACGTGCCATTATTCTACCCCTCATGGCAGGTTGTTGTCCTTCAAGTGAACGGAATCTACCAACCTACAGATTCCATCCATGTCCTATGCGTCGGGAAACTGCGGATGCGACTTGCCAAAGGAACGACGGTAGTAGCCAGGGAATTCTACTCGTCGTCGATGCAGGTACCCTCTAGCAACACTTCCAGCATCACAAGACACTGGCTGTGTTTTATGTTACTGGCTATGGCATGTGCCTAACCCGTGTCCATCCTCCATCCGAGAATTTCAGCTATGCGGCGTTAGAGGCGGCGGAGACGCTGCGCCACAGGCAATGTTCTGGCAGCCGAGGGAAGGCCTCAGCTTGGTCCTGGGCTTCGAGACGCCAAGGGAGCGCAACTCGGCGATCATGCTCGCCCGGAGATTCGCCATCGATTGCAACGTAAGCTCAGACCATTCGTATTGTTGGACCGTGTCATGGGTATCATCATCGCTCATGCCTTGATCTTCTTCCTTGCTGAACGCAGATTATCCTCGCCGGTCCAGGGGACAAAACTCCGTGGTGACACGGCCAAGCATACCAGCTAACTTAGTTCTGACCCTTGACGGAATCAGTGTACATCTATCTCTGTGCAGCGCACGGCGGCGTCTGTTTAGTAAGTAGCTCAGTGCCCACTTGGCATCGGTTCATTGTTTTCTTGCCTAGGTTTCTTCATCTTCTTTCTTTCACGTCATCACTGTATCCTGCTAGTATCTTGCTAGGTAGAGCATGTCTTTTGATTTTCCTGACACCCTGGTGCGAGATCTATAGGTGTGTGCCAGTTCCATTGTAATTTTATATTTGAACAATAAAAATGTGATGCTGATGTACACCTTCATGCCCAAGTTGCTTTGTGTGTGAACCTTGGCCTGTTCGTCCGAGCAAATCGTTCGTCCCTGACTATATGACGCAACTGCCGGTCAGGCAGGCAACATCCAAACCCTAACCCCAAGGGACGCGGCTGATAAGCCCGTAGCCGGCCAGCCATGGAAGACCTCCCCGACGATTCTCTCGCACGCATCCTCCGTAGAAAACAACTACCTTTTTGGTCCGATACCTCCGCGTTCTTTTCCCCGAACGTTGAAAAATTTCCGGTACTTCCGGACAAGTTACTTTGTTCTAAGGTCATCTTGAACGCCGGTCTGTAAAGT